AAAATTAGGATCCGATATCAATATGATTTTTTGATGTGGCGTTTGACTTGCTTAAAATTTTTACAGAAAAATATGAAAAAAAAAGCGGGAAATGGGTGTTCCTTTTAAGGCCCACTAGTAATTTACGCTACTATCAGGTCATATTTGTGTGCAACTTTGAAAATACATTTATTTGCAATTAAATAAATAAATAAACAATGAAACACAAGTATATGTAAGTAATATTATTTATTTTATTTCCGGAAGTGAAAAAAAACTATCAATTTTAATTATTCTCATCGTTGGTATGATGTTGTTCAAAACATAACTTAGGATGCAAGATTACTTCACATTTGACACAAGTAAAGTTACTTTTTTTTTGTGACACACATAGCACATCTGAGTCTTTCTACCTTGTACCTGATGATATGGCCTCTGTTATCATATCGCCACTCCTCATGATAGCTCCTCAAAAGTCTACAATTTTTTCGAGTACCTTCTCTCTCTCGAATCAATTTTTCAAAGGATCTCGGCTTATTGCAAGATAACACTAGCTCCTATGCCCATCTTCTTGAATTCCAGAGGAATTTCAGTAGACTGCCGTTGGTATGACTCAAACCACAATATGTAGCCAAGGCAAGTACTTCCAGTCCAAAAGTTATAGCCCTACCTGATTGGATTTCCTCAGATAAACTGTTTATATGCCCTCAAAGAAACAATCAAAATAATAGACAGGGTGTTTTTGTATTGGTGCACCTTGTTTTTCAGTTCAGGGATCATGTGTGGGCGAATGTCTCGTGTGGTCCAATTATAACTTTTGTTCTTAGAAACAAGTAGCTTTGAATAAGTTTGGGGAGAGAACGTTTCTACTGTCTGTGATTCAATCTGTGGATTAGCAGACGTACAGGGACACTCGTCATCTTTGTCCGTTGTAACCCGTCTACGTTTAGCTATCTGAGCGATAGGTACGTAATCTTCATCTTCATTTACTTACTTCAATGTACTTCAGCTACTACTCGAAGCTGGGTTACAGGCAAATTTGACAACGACACTTGATTTTCGTCACCAAAATCCTCATCTGTGGAATTTTTAGGTGACAAAATTGATATGTAATCCGGGATTGGCTCATTCTCATTACATTTTAACTCTTCCAATATATTTTATTTAGCTTCAAGTTCTTTTTCCGGACTCCAAAAACAAAAAATAGACAAACTAGTATATATCAGTCACAGTAGGGCATTTTACTATTGGTCCTTATAAGGAACACTTGTAAAAAATATAAAATTATATAAATAATCGTGTATATTTGTTACTCAAAATACGAAACATAAATAGGTCAGGGTTATATTTCCTTTAATACAATTTATAAAATATCAATAACCTATAAAATTGAACTGATACGTACCTGTGCTCATTCATGGTGAAAATACCAAAATAGTCACAGTTCAATAAAATAACACTGCATCACACGAAATAATAAATAAAGTTTATAACTGCTAACAACAATCTTTCACAACACACTAGACTCATCAAAGGGAAAAAAAACTACCCACATGATGCATATTTTTTTTTTTCTTTACTGTGGTCCGTTAAAGGAACGCTAGTAACAAGTGGGTTAATTAAATAAGTATAATATTGTGGTTCTAGTCCAGGCTAACTAGGCTGATGTTGTCAGACCTTTTATCTCCAAGCCCGTTGGGACACAAAGTCCAAGTTAATTTAGTACTAACGACACAAACTGCTTTTAAAATTGATCTGATTGAAGGTGTCGAATCTGAAGTTTGACCATTTTTTGGTTTCTTCTTATCATAATAACAAAGGATAAAGGAAAGGCATTTTATTCAAACGAAGATTTTATGTAATTAATTATCATAACATCTTTTATTCTATATTATTATTTTAAATTTTACATGCTTAGTTCAAACATTAAGAAAGAAATAATAATATTTAACATCTGAATAATATACAGCTCTACTGTTTATGATTCACTTAGCAATAAAAATTAAATTAATATATTGCAAAATATTCCATTGTTACATCGAATACCTACACAATATTATAGAGAAAGGACAGAGGTGGGGTGCAATCACAAGGAATACTCGAAAGTAGGAGAACTAAGTTTATATGGCAAACGATACAGAGTGCGCTTTAGGTTCACCATAACAAAATAGAGCTTTCACTTACCCATTAAATATTATAATATATACACAGACATCGTTTCTACTGGATGATATTATTAAGGTTTTATCACAAAGATTTTTACTAATATCTACTGAAACATGTAGCGTTAAAGAGCACGGCGCTGTTAGCTTCATTATTTAAACAAACTTTGTTCTAACATCATTTTACTTACCAACATTCTACTAGATTCGAGTACCTAATCATTTCTTCTAAACGTTAATCTACATTTCACTTCACGAAATAATCTTATGTACCGCTCCAAAGCTAACAGCAACGTGCTTTTTAACAACAAGACACCAAGCGTTTAATTTACATTCTAGTGAACAACCAGAGATAAATATTTACATGTCCAGTTATTATACAGGCTCCTTCGATCACTCGACATTGGCGAGGGGTTCTCATTATCATATCATTAATCTAAAATTGATTCAAAAGAAAAATTATTTAAAAACTCTAAATTCTCTTTTATAATACAAAAATATAATAAAATCGTGAATTACATAAAAAGAGGCTAAAATATAATTCTGCGTGTTTTTAATTCTCTATTACTACTAATGTGTTATACTCTGCCTTTAGGCAAAATTATTGCAACATGTGACTAAAATTAATTTTATTAAATTATGCATGGAACAATTTAAGTAGAAAGATCTAGGGCGAAAGATTTGATTATGCGCGCAATCGCATCTTATAGAGAATTTGTATCGAAATGATCCACAGACGCTAAGGCAAATTAGCAAAGCATTAGTTAAATAATAATAATTATTTTATTAGTTATAATGCGATTCAAATAAAAATAGGAAAGTCAATGACCTCCATCTGTCAAATGTCGTTTGAAAAGTACGGCTTGCAAAAAAATCTGGGAACCCTTTTTTAGCACTCAGCTAATTATAGAATAAAAACCAAACATTTGTAAACAAACAATAACAAATATTGTTAATTAATATTGGTTGATATTTTATTTTCATTTATTGAGCTTTGGCTATGAATGTTTGATAACCTAAATCGTCAACCAAATGTCACTTTAAGTTGCGTTCGGAAACTCAATTTATAACTTTGGTTTACATATAGGATGCATGTGCGTATGTGACCTACTAATAGTGCATGATTATTCATAACTACTCCGGCGGTAATGCCGAGATGAGCGGAATTGAAGAGCTTAATTCTGATTACTGTTTTTTCTCGCAGTCTTAATAAATAAATATTATTAAAAATCGGTTATTTTCTTTTCTCAATTTTAGTAAATAAATTTCATTAAAAAATCGGATGTTATGTCTCACTTAATCTTAGTAAATAACTTTTATTAAATAAAAACTTTTTTGCTCACTCTTCCTTTTTCGTTTGAATTGACAGCTATGACGTCACAAAATGGCGCCCCATCGATCCTATTCTTAGTTGAATCGCATTCTACACTGTGAAATAAGCAAGATTTAATTTTTGCCCCTATAAATGCACTCAAAAATGCAAAGGACAACATTATTATAATGATTGAATTATTAAGTGTTTTACAATACTAACTGAAAATGTTTTTAAGTGGGGCCAGACCTATTATGGGATTATAAAATTTTTCCACATAGATTTAATATCCAAGTATTAATTTGTCACGCGCATAAATATGCAATGGCAACTCAACATCACCTATTGACAGAAAAATAAATATGGCTCAGCCTTGTACTAAAAATAAGTAACAAAAAATAATACGGATTATAAACCATCAAAATGTAACTGCCCCAGAATATTGCATAGTATTGGACATTTTACATTTGTTTATGAGTAAGCTCTTGATCCTCTTTCCAGTGCGAGAGCAAAGATGGGATCTACAGTATAGCAAGCTTACTTAATTCAATGAAAATTGTGGATAAATCGTGTAAAATTTATGATTCCAACACAAAATCCTAAGTCTGTATTATTTCCATCAATTTTGAGTAATAATAATATAGGTAATACAGAGAATAAATTTCATCGATAATGTAGTTTTACTACAAAAGTTATTATTATATTCTAAAAAAGTTATTCCAGCACAAGTCAAAGTTCATTCAATAAACTCGAATGGCTCAACAATCGCCAGTCACAAAATCTACATATGGTTATAACTCATTTGTGTAAACTTCTTGGTTGAATTTATATACATAATTACCTATTCACCCTGAACGTTTCATATAGAAAAATGAATAAGATAAAGAATCAATAAGACATCAGAAGAGCGGAAATGATCAGATAAAAAACAACAGGTTTGTAATCCCATAAAATTATTATAAAAAATCTATTATGTTTGTAACATTTAGAAAATCATAAACGATTTGTGATAGATACACTTATTCACATTTATTATTATTTCCATAAGAATCTGGCTATTTTAATCTATTAAAAATGCTATAACTTCTAAAGGTCCTATCTAAATATAACGAACAGAATATTTTGCAAACGCGCGTAGTTAGGTACATTATTCACTGGTTTCGGGGGATGTAATTTACCCAAGATTAGCCCGAGGTTGTGTCACAACATAATTTTCGTTGTTTCTTTGAAGTATGTGCAAGCAAGACATTACAAAACTTTAACGTCCTTATATTTTATAAATGAGATGAAAATGCTGGATTGATTGATAGCAGAGGACTAACTTAGAATGAGCCAGCTGTATTTTTTTCTTTCATCAGGCACAATAATATCGTAAGTCATGAAGAAGATATTATTAGAGACTATTGTTATCTATCTATAGACTCGCCAATACTCCAAAACACTTATCGTGTAATTTCTGAGGCGCAGCTGTAAAACTGATATTCATGTGTACTTATGAAAACAGAGATATTATGTTAAATTAGGATGTGGACGCTTACACGTCATAGGTTATAATGACAAATATTGTCAAATTTCCTCGTCACAAAAGCTTATTGTAATGATAAAATTAGTAAGCCGTCCACAGAAACTGATAATAATTTCACACAAATAAAATTTTGTAACATCTTGCTTTGCTGACATAGGCGTTAAGGGATATTTTAAAAGTCTAACATTCGTCGGGCTTCAGTAATTGAGCTGTCCGTACAATGATATAGGACCATAGAGGTATAAGAATAGAGTAGGGGATATATATACTCTACTACGGAATTGTCCTTCTAATAGAAAGAGAAAGAAGATGGGAAAACGCTAGCTTTCTCTCTCTAATCGCGCATGCGCATTGGGAACCGTAAGCATCTTACTATTTCGATGTGATGCCATTGGATACCATGCGTCACAAGAAAGAGAGAGATAGCTAGCGGTCTCTCATCTTCTTTCTCTTTCTACTAGACGGACACTTTTAGAGCCGCCTTCCCCACTCTATTCTTATACCTCTGTGTTCATAATCCAGCTGCCTTTGCGGCGTTGTGATAGTCGACACTGCTGTATCCGCGTACCACTCAACTGCAATTAAATCTCATCTTAAAATATCACACAAATCTAATTCCAGCCGAGCGCACATATACACTTAAATTATAACACAGATTTAACCTCTAAAATGGCTAATGCGATCCGAATCGAAACATCACTAAAATACGTGTGAAACGTCTAACACTAACAAGAGACCTAGATACTAGGACGAGTCTGTAGACCCCCTATAATATGCTAGAAAAAGTAAAAACAAATAATAAAAACAACTATAATTTACTTAAACATTATATGCGTACAAAAACTCTAGCCTTCATTCCCTAGACGCATTATCGATAGATCGATAATAATTTAATATATCAGATACATAAACATAGTACATATATAAAAAATCTTTACCATTATACATACATACGTACCGAGTAGGCTTTCCCACCTTTCATCTTAACTCTCCTATATACAATATGTACAGAGGGAAATAAAAACAATTTGTACTTGCAGAAAACCGTGAAAATTAAAACAGAAGTGAAACGGAAATATACAAATTGCGCGATAGCGCCACTAACACGACTCCATAAAAAAGTTATATTAATTTTAATTATATTTATATAATACAAGCGACGGTCCGGCGGCGACGTGAGATTTACAAAAATATGTCTTATTTATAAGGCAGCAACGCCTCTACCTGCCGCAGCCCTTCGCGTCTGCCGCGCCATCTGCCGAAAAATACTACGTTACTATCATAATACACTACATAATATATAAAAAGTATACTAAAATGGTTAAAAAATATGATAATATACGTAATTGCAAGACAATGTACTACTTAAAGAAATATAATGATGATATTAGTAGACAATCTTAACACTATCAACTTTTCCCTTTATTTTAGTATTGCAATGTAATGTAACGAATGTCATTTTTTGATCATTTGCGAATGCAAATATCAGGAACCGACATTCGCGAATGCGAATATTTATTATAGAATTGCCAAGTTGATATGAACTCATCCGACTGAAGTGTCATTCCGCTCGCACCGGTCTTTTCGTGAACAAAACAAGTGAATTTTGAGGTTAGAGTTTGAATAGTGATTTAAATAAAGTAAATAGTAAATGTAAATCAAATTCTAGTGAAATATGGACTTACTTGCGATGCTGAACGAACTAAATGTAAGCTGTGTAACAATGAATATTAAAGGAAAGCCAGAACAACAAATTATTCAAATAGTTATTTTTCTAATATTCATATTCGCAAGATTTTGCGAATGCGAATGTGAATGCGAATATGCAAAAATATGCGATTATTTATCCGCGAATGCGAATATTCGTTACATCCCTAGTTGGTATAGCTCCGTTAGAATGAATGATAGTCAACATTGTGAGGAGGTAGCGCTATGACTCCATGCAATCGTACCGGAGTTCTCCGTGGGCGGTCTCGCTTCTTCGTCCTCAGGGAGAGCAAAACCGAACTCCCGTCGGAGCCGCGTGCTAACGTTCTCGCGTTGACGCTCAGTAGCAGTGGGTTGGGCATCGAACACACCTGCACAAAACGAAAAATATCGGTAAATTATCTTTCAAAAATTGAAATAAATAAATAAATATTTCCAACAATCACACCAATTAGCCTAGCCCCAAAGTAAGCACTATAAGGCTTGTGTTATGGGATGCTAGGGTAACGGCTAGAATACATATACTGTACGTATATAAATATATTTATATAGAAACACATATTAAACATCCATGACTGGAGTACAAATGCTTCTATTCATAATACAATCATCTGCCACCTCCGAGATTCGAACCCGGGACCTCTCGAGTCGGCGATACCATGAAACCCGGCGTACAAACCATTCGGCGACGGAGGTCGTCAAATAAAATAAAAGGACTTCTACCGGTGACTCCAGTCAGACGCAATTCAAACCAGCGACCTTTAGCGTATTTGGGCGTCTCTAATCACTGAGCTATCAAAGATCTTAACGAGGTTGTGCACTTTATTAATTAATGACTGATAGCGCCAGCGTAATTAATCAATGTTTGCAAACAATCCATAAGAACCGACAGATAATTTTAGTCTCGGCTGTGGTTAGAATCCTAATCGATATAAATAATAATTTCTGAATGGATTTATCATATTTATGTTTTATTAAGAAATTGTGCATTTAGGCTGAAAATAAATTTCAAAACACAGCGCGATATAATACAGTAGGTAAAACGCTCTAACGAGGTGCATGTTTAACTTCTCGTACGCGGAGTGGTTTAAAAATAAAACAAAACGTGCATATCTGGCATCGTGCCAACCCGCCGAGTACTCTATTGCACCGTATTAAGACCGACACGACATTTATAAAACCATTGTTTCGCGCACATTATCTCATCTAACCAGCACGTATGTAGTTAAACTTGAAGCAAACGCAAACATAAAGTTTAAACGATAGAGCTTATATTCGCAAAGCAACAGCTAACTTGTTTACTCGCCAGTCAAGGTCATATAACAACCATGATTCCAAAGTAATTGTTTTTTGCTCGATTGCGTATCATCGTCGCTGTAATGTTATTATAGAATTCGCTTTCAACACGTTATTTAAAAACCGTTTAATATCACAGTTTAACACATCTAAAACCTTACAATTAAATATAAGATAACTACCTCACTGGAATTTTACTTTGAACCTACAAGATTCTCTCGACACGTTGCTCACGCTTATATGTCAACAACTATTTGATATCTTTAAATCACTTTTTTTACCATAAAACGGAATATTGCACACTAAAAAATAAAGATTTAAAACACAAACCTCATTCACTTTTCATGACACAGGAACAAGGAGTTTTCACCTTAATCAAGTGGGGTTTAACAGGGCAAGATAATATTTGTTTCTTAGGATTTCACGCACACCACTCATTAAATAAAACAAGTTTCAACGGTATAGATTTTTTTTCCCAATCTTAATTGCCATCTGTCCTTAAGGACTTTTATCAATTTTGATGCATGCAGAATGACTTTAAGAGAGCAGAGGCCATTGCCTCAGCTTCCTAGCTAAACAACATTACGTCTTCTGAGTCTGTTAGTTATATTTGACATATCTAGCAACTCGTTGGCCAGTGGGTTTGGGTGCATGGTTAGTCGTTGGAAGTATCGTTCCTTGCAGCCTTGTATTTCTTCTATTATAGTAGGAATATTTAGGGACTCATGCGTTTGCTGTTCAAAGAATTCTGTTTTGAGCTTTTTGAAGGCACATTATGTTGCTGTTACTGGCCACTCCGCATAATTGAATACCGTAAGTCCATACAGGTTTTAAGATAGAATTGTAAAGAAGCAGTTTGTTGTCCACGATGGTAACTACCTTTTTTTCCTTCGAAAGTCTTTCGAAGGTGGCTCGACAAAGTAAATAATAATCGTAATTCTGACGACGCAGCCTGAAAAGAATGCTAAATGTCAAGAAACAAATCGGTGCATCTATACCGTTGAAACTTGTTTTATTTAGGTAAAAGATAATCTCATCTCATCTTTTGGCGCTAATTAATCGAACGAACATTAAGAGCTAGAACACACTTGCAACTAATCGCTCTACAATAATAGCGTCTTCGTGCAACTATTGCACATACGTAAACGTAACACATTAGATTATTGCAACTGCGATTATTTAGACAGATAAGGATAATTTTCAAATACTAATTATTGCGTGCAACTATCGTTCAAAGTGCGCACTGCGATACATTCATATAGAAATCGATTCCTGTGAAACTATCGCGTTGCACTAAAGTTGGGGGGCCTTGTGAATAAAAAGTTGCGTTTTGAAACTATCACAAGTATAGGCGGACGTGCAAATATGTATACTTTGTGGAGGTCCGCACAATTATCGCACTGCAATTAATTGCAAGTGTGTTCTAGCTCTGAATTGATCCAACGACTATGAAGACATATGCGATTCGACGGACGAGTAGACCTTTGCGCCTGTCCACATCTAAAAGTAAATCTGCAACGTTACCGGCACCAGTTCACGTTGATGACGTCGTGACATAGACATGTGTATGGACAGACACTTTCGCTACAGTGCTGCCACCTGGCGCCCGTAATTCCTAAAAGCCCGCCTTCGTTGTCTGAAAATACAAGAAAGTGTTACCTTTCGGCATGGCCTGCAGCTCTCTGAGCAGCCGCTGCTCGAGGTCGTCGAAGGCGGCGGCGGCGGCTATGGACAAGCACTTTCACCTCAGTGCTGCCACCTGGCGCCCGTTATTCCTGAAAGCCCGCCCTCGTTGTCTAAAAACACAAGAAAGAAAGTGTTACCTTTCGGCATGGCCTGCAGCTCCCTGTGTAGCCGCTGCTCGAGGTCGTCGAAGGCGGCGGCTATGGACAAGCACTTTCGCCTCAGTGCTGCCACCTGGCGCCCGTAATTCCTGAAAGCCCGCCCTCATTGTCTGAATACACAAGAAAGAAAGTTTTACCTTTCGGCATGGCCTGCAGCTCCCTGTGCAGCCGCTGCTCGAGGTCGTCGAAGGCGGCGGCGGCGGCAGCGTCGAGCCGCTGCGGCGACAGGTCGGCGGCCGACGAGCCCGACGACCACTCGCCCGCGGCGGGCGGCTCGCCCCCCGGCCCCGTCGCGGCAGACTCCTCGCCCGACGGCACGCCGCACTGCCGCTTGCGGTACTCCGTTATAGAGAGCTAGAAACAAGCAAGTCTCTTCGGTGGTGTAGTATGAGGCGGGTCGTTACGTTCCCTACAATAGGGTTGACCATTCCAACGGGTATTTCTATATGATATATATTATGAATCATGTGTTGACAATACTATATTTGGATTTAAAAGCTGTATATAAAGTTGATAACTTAAAGAAGAATCAGACTATTTAAGAATATTTGAATGACAAAACGGCGTGGTCGTGATTTCTCCATTTCTTTTGCTTTTGTAATTGTTTGCAGTGTCCTACAAATAAATGACCTTAATTTTAAGTAAATATGTTGTAGTTAATATGAGTGGTTGTGGGTAGTCATGCTCCCTTAAAATTCTCTTCGGTGGTATCGTGTGAGGCGGGTCGTTACGTTCCTTAAAATATGGATGAGAGAAGCGATAGCTGGTTCATGCGTTATACTCGTGAACGGGTCCTGCCAGCAGAGATGAGTCTGCCCTAACTTCCTTGATATTGGAGATGTTAATGTTTAGTTACACTTAATATAAATAACACTATTTGTATTTATACTGCATGACACAGCAATCAAAATGCAGGTAAAAAAAATGTGTATATGTAATCATTATGTAATGAAAGGTGATTTTTTGAATCATCTCTGAAGTCATTTTTCAACTCGACGACTCTGTAAATAATAAAATAGGGAGAAAAAAACAGCCCTTGCTGAGTTCCTTGCCAATTCTGGTCAGTACAAGGTCTCCCCTATGTAGATTTAAGAACCGATGGCGTAGCTTCTAGACATTCATGAAAGCTTGGAACAGCCTAAACTGAATAAATGATTTTGATTATGATTATTATTGCGAATCTACATCTGCCATCTAAGTGCAGGAGCACACGATGCGTTGCGACGGCGGTGCGGCGTTGAAGCGGTGTCGCTGCGTCATCTTACATAGATATGTCAAATCTGAGGTGCCGCACCGAACTTGCAACCACTAAGACGAGGCGGGGGGAGGCTTGGTTGCTTATGCGTCATAAAAATTACAACGCTCGCGTCGCATTGCATCGTCTGCTTGTGCTTTTATAAAATGAGTCCTACTTGCCAAAGGATAAAATACTAATTGAGTGGTAGGACAAAACCTAGTCATATACTGTTATAGCGCATGCCACCAATGAAATACCACCCTGCTGCGCTGCCTGCGTTGGTTATTAAGAAACTTTATGACGCTCTCGACCTGTTCTTTACACTCAACACCTAATGTTCAAACTCTCGGAGCGTCAAAAGGAACATAATAAGCTATTTCGTGTCATAAGCATGTTATGAAATATGTACTATTAATTGAACTACCGATCTCTATGATAAAGATTATTTCTAGATAAGAAAATTATAAATTACCTATTTAAAGATACAGATACTAATAACAACTTAATATCATTATACAAATTGAGGTTAAACCTTGATCTTTTTTTGTTATCAATTCATCTTTATTATATGAAGTAGAGTTGCCTGGTAGAGATTGTTACCTTAGCAATAAGGCCGCCTTTTGTGTTTGCGTTCCCGTGTTTCATGATTCTTTTTTATTTGTGTTAATGTGCAATATAGAACATTTATTCAAGTAAAAGGAAATGAACTTACCTTCCTTCTTACTGGTTTAGGTTTTTCAACAGGCGGAGGATTCAGTCTGGGGTCGTTGCTGCGCGGACAGTAGGGCTTGCTAGTCAGCTTTGGCGCCGGCGCGGACAGCAAGCTCGACTTGTTCGAACTCTTCAACACCCCCGAGAGTATAACACTATTATTAGAGTCCATATTGTTCACTCGCGTCAATATCTCGTGCACGCTTTTTAGTTCGTCCACTGGCGTGATATTGTCCTTGTCAAATAAATTACTATCTAAACTTGTAGTCCTATCTATTGCACTCTTTATTATAGACATATTAGGTACGTTTTCATTAATGGGATTCGGGTCGAGATTGAACGATTGGGACATGTTGCTGAAGATGCCGGAGAATAGTCCCGTCGAGCTGAACCGCGACGAGAAGGGCAGCGTAGAAGTTTCGAGGACGGATGGTCGCTCGATACAACTGAAATGTTTCTCCTCGTTTTTCTCGATGATAGGAGATGCGGGCCTGATGGTTTTGACGGGTTTACTCAGCTCCTCAGGCAAGGGTATCGTCTCTGGCGGTGGCACGAGAGGCATCGGACTCGGTTCTTCTGGCAACGGTATGTTTTCGGGCGCAGGCAGCGGTATCGACTCCACCGGCGGCAACGGTATATTCTCCGGCGACACGTGCAACTTGTCGTCGTGCACGGAATTGCTCATGTCGTCGTGAATGTCCCCATTTATCTCCGGCGACTTGGAGTTGGAATCCTGCTCGGTCCGCAACTGGATGCTGATTTGGTCGTCCACCATGTTGAGATCAAAATTCAAATTCACCTTCTTTCGCTTCTCCTTTGGCTTCTTATTTCTACTTTTTAATATGAGTATATTTTCTGTGTGAAATGAGTGGATTTTCTTCTGTATGTCATCCATCTCGTCGCGTTGTGGCGATGAGTTACCGCTGGTGTCTGCAGATTGACAACTATTCGGTTTGTCGTTTGGACTTTCGATGCCTTTTAATTCACTATTGCTATTCTCGTTTGATTCCTGAATTTTTGGCTGCGGTATGGTTGTGTCGATTTCCATCGGGACGGCTTTGTTGTAGTTTGTGTCTTCTATATCTATGTTATTGTTATTAATTTTAAAATCTTCCGGTTTCGCGATCTCTGGCGGGACTTCCTCCTCTGGCGTAGGCACTCCTATTATTCTTCTGATGTGTTCACTATCGTGTGGACCTTTTATATTTACATTTAACACATCATTGTCTATATTGCACTGATCATCAGATCCTTGACCGCTATCCGATCGAGTCCTATCCCTTCCGTAAATATCTTCCATTATATTTCTCACTTTATATTGCCTACTGGTAGTATTGGGATCTTCTTTAACTGGAGAATCTTCCGATGTCAACATTGGAGAATTTTCTTCATTACACTGTACAAAAGAATAAAATTTTAAGAGTTTCTTATTTCTAATACATAAGTATATTTAATAAATTTAAAATGTATTGTGTCATTGTTTGTTTACCTTAATAAATTAAAAAAAAAATGATTTGTTACTTACAGGCACAACAATATTATTCGGTTCACAAGACAATGATTCCCGCGCTAATCGCCTCTTTTTTAGTGGCGTTACCATTTCATTGGGTGGTGATTCTGGAATAAACACATCTGGATTTCAAAATAGTATCGCTATTCATCGTTACACATGTCTTTATAGAAATTTGCAAACACAAACCTGCTGAAGGAGAGTCGCTTTCCTCGCTTATGGCTTGCCTCAGCCATCTCTTCTTGGCGCTGTGCTGAGGTATAACAGTTGGAGTCACCTCAACCACTTCAGCTGGAGGTGTGCTTCTAGTTATTCTTTTAGACTTCTTGGGTGGTCTATTTCTGTCTCTGCCAGGTGTTCTGGGCGGCGACATCTGAGCATTATCCTCCTCGTGTTCTATCCCCTGTCCGGCGCTAAGATCTCCAATCATAGTAGATGCGACTTGGACGAGACTTTCCAATGATGGCGCAGAGACCAATGAAGGTCTGTAAGGCGAACGGTAGGGTGATGGGGTCCGTTCTGGCGACCGACCTATCCATTCTGTAGCCATTGTCTTCTTGGTTTTGGGTAGTTTGAAAGCAGACTCGACGGATCCCACGGCGGCTTCGACGAGTAGGCACGCAGAACTTAAACTAAGGTCCTGTGAACAACATTAATTTCATTGACGTGAAAAAAAAAATTCTATCAAATTCCGATTTTAAGAAACTAGAAAATCTAAGCTTTTTGACATTGTCTTTACATATAGATATAAGGATGAAATTAGATACAACAGATCAGCGAAAACTTTAGTTTGGTGAAGATAAAGAAGGAAAAAGATTTATCCTGAAGAAAAAAACAAATATGTGGACAAAATTCAATAAAAATTGCGTTGCTATGAGACCCGATGCGGCCCGCCTGGTGGACGATAATGTCTCGAGATATTTGTTTTTTCTGGACGCTAACCTTTATGATGCATTACATCTATTGATTTAAAAATATTCAAGAGTCTGTGCGGAAAGAGAATGGGCGTGGCGAAAAACGGAACTAACATTAAGATTTTTTTATGGCAATAAAACCCAGCCATCAGTGTTGCCACCTTGGTGGTTTATCCACCAGAACTGGTGCTTTTTCACGGCTTCTAGTGTTATATTTTCATTATCTAGCGGGTAATTTTTTTTTAGTATTTTTTAGTGGTTTTTTAACATGAAATCTAGCAACATATTTTTAAAGGGGAAATTCCCTAACTTTCCGAAATTTCATAATGTTCTATGTGGTTACTCACAGTTATTTCTGTAGCATCTCATACATATTCACTGGTTTTTTATTTAAATTAGAGTTTTTTTGTTATCAGAGATGCAATTGTAATTTAGCGGATTTTGGTGTATTTTATTAAATCCAAATTTTTGAAATCTGGCGATTATTTACCTTTGACTTGGCGCCTTAAAAAAATCCAAGGTGGCAACACTGCCAGCCATCTGTCAAACGTCAAAGTTTTGTATTGATACGGATTTGTTTTTTGTTGTGATTTCTTGCGGTTTTTTTTGTATTTAATCATGTCTAAGAGGAGTAAAACATTACAAATACTGTACAAAAGCACTACTGCGCCCTCAAATCTAAATCACATTCTCTTTCCGCACTAGTGTGAAATCAGTCTTAAACGAAGCTTCGGTACACTACCTCATTGTGTGGTTCGGAGGCTCGTTCCCTCGACGGGGACGGCGAAGGCGGCGCTTGCGGGGCGCTGTCTCGGCGCGGCGGCGCCCGAGGGGGACTCCTGGGGGTAGCCTCGTCCCCTGACGTCACCATGTCACTGTCCGCGGAGTTCAACCGCCGCCTGTTACACTGCGATGTGGTACGCGCCCGCCCTTTACGCCTGACAATAGTGAAGTGAAATAATCAGCGATAAAGCTAGATTCACGTTTCACCCGCTTTAAAGTATGAGGCCGTATTATGAACTCTTACTGTCTTAAAACAACACATTGAAAAGATAAGGCTGATAAAAAAATATACTGTCACCTTTATATGTTTAAAAAAGACAAAGATAGCATTAGATTTAAACCAAGTCTAACTACTAGTAGTTACTTACCATCATGACACTTGATCAAATTGCCTTGATCAAGCAAAAATCCTTCCGTTAAGTAGCATGTCCCTCCAAAACACATGTCCATACACAGTCAGTTTGGCTTGATCAAATAGCCAAACTGACGGTGTGTGGGCAGGAATTTTGGTTTTGGTGAAAACTTGATCAAGCCTATTTAATTAAGCCAATTGATCAAAGGGCAAGATAGTGAGTGGCCACCATAACCTCTCTAATCACCTAACTCTAATCCACGTTTTGCTTGTAATAAGGCGGTACAATGATTTCACCCAGAGACCTCAAATCAAGTTAATGTAATTTTGAGTGACGAGTTGTCTTTGTCTATTGTTAAAGCAAAGAAAGTGACGGCAATAACATTAATCAAACCTCAAAGTTTCTATGACCGTTAATACCACGCAAGTTCTGTTGTTAGAACTAGACATCACATACGCACATCTCGCTTCAACCGTCGTTTTTGCCTGGAGTTAAGAAGTCATAATACCTACGGCCTCCGAAATTTGAAATCCTGTTTCTAAGTACGAGTTTAATCCAGATCTAGAAATAGCAGCAGATACTTATCGCTTCAGGGTACCATTTTACTTACCAGCCCAGTCACTCTTTGCCTACCCCATAAAGCTATGGCACTTAACTATTGTGTTAATTGTGGTGTGTGGTACTAAGTTAGCTGGGTCAGCTAGTGTAGTAAATAAGTGTACCTACCGTCTCCTTTTCTTTGTGATATTGTGAGTTTCTTCATCTTCATCTCTGTCATTGCCACTAGGATGTGGATCGGACTCTCTGCGTTTCTGTCGTTCTTTAACCTCTTGTTTCCGTTGCTGGGCCTTTTCCAGCCTTTCAAATGCTTTCATTATTGCTTCCATCTTGCGTTCTTCGCGAGTCTAAAATAATATAAACATTTATACATAGGAAATCATAAGGAAAAATAATATTATACATTCAATTCAAATAATAGTTACCATTTTCTTTTTATCCTTTTCTTTGCTAACTGTTGTAATTTTGTCTTGGGAATCATCAGTTTTATCATCTAAAGAGTCCTGGTTGACACAGGTTCTACTAGATCTAGATGATCTATCGTGGCATGCCGACTTTGCAGCCATTTCACGTGTCACTGGCCTGTCATCTTCTTCTTGGATTTCCTTTTCAATTTCCTTTAGTTTCTTTTCTTCAACAACTTTTTCTGGTTTTTCTTCATCTGAGAATATGTTTTCAGTCTCTAACTTTATCTCTGGTTCTTTAACTTCTTCTATCTCCGGAATCGGATCTTCTACAATAGGTTCGGGTATTATTTCTGCTTTAGGTGTTATTTGCTTTGGTGATAATGGTGGTTTAACAATTTCTTCAATATGTTCATGCTTTTCTTGCAAAGGTTCTGTTTTTACAAAGTCTGGTTCATCTATTTCAAGTTTAAGCTCTTCTTTCGCTATTAAATCTATTTCAGGTTTAATTTCTTCTGCAGGAGGTTCCTCCTTGATTGGTTCATCAAAAACGAGTGCAGTAACAGCTGTTTTGATGGGAGACATTGGTGAAATTTCCTGTTTTATTGGAGATTTCTTTTCAATTTTTATTGGCAACGGCAAGAATTCTTTTACTGGGGTTGAGACTGGCTCTGGAGGCGGTGAAAGCGGAGATGAAGCACTAAGGCACCTATTTCTGCTTCTCTTCTCGCGTGGTGGATAATCTACGCTCTTTCTTGTAAGAGGTGGGTTAAGACCATTAATTTTACAATGTTTAGGATTCCCACAAGCACATGGCTGTTTGCTACCATCAGAATCGTGGCCAACAGTAATTTCGGTGTCAGACTGAATTATTCCAATAGTCACTAAATAAACATGTAGAGCACCTTTGACAATACAATGTTGTAGTTCTGCGTTTGGCTTGCAAGATCTCCTCACAAATCTAGCTTCATTGCCGTAAGTTCTTGTATCAATACATATCTGTGTATTATCTTTAGGTAACCTATAGAAGAATACAAAGGGTCCAGGCTTTTGACTACCGGCACGAGCAGAATTCTGCAACTGTGGTCTGTGCTGATTAGACAGCATATATTTTCCTCGCAATTCTATTATTGGTGTATTTTCTTTTAAATCTTTTGTGGCAATAAGTATTTTCCCACCAGCATGGGGAACTGTGGTGCAAAAATGTGCCGTGATAGCTGATGCCACATTTGGTGTGTTTCCAATTCTATTACAATACTTCATTATTTTAGCTCTGAGCTCAGGACTATAATGATTAGTCATGGCTAGTTCGTAAGATTCTTGCCAATGTGATTGATTTGACATGCTGGAATTATATTTATTTCTATTTAACATCATTTCTTTCTTACGTTTGACACGTTTTTCTACCAATTTTCTTTTAGCTCCTTTTCTTATAATATCACCTTTTTTCGGTCTTTTCGGACCACGTTTTGGTAACGGCAAAGGCGGCTGTGGTAGAGGCGGCAGCACTGGGATGCTTGAATTATATGTAGTGACACATGATCCACTAGTGTTAGTGTAAGTTGTTACTGTGAGAAGACGTTTCCTTCTTTGGCCAGGTAAACGGCTACTCCCAGAAGAGTCTGTATCAGAAGCAGCTCCTAATGCACTCAATTCTTCCCGTTTTCTAAGTTGGATAGCACGAGCGTGACGGCGATCTATCGGTCTGGGTTGACACAATTCACACATGTAGGCATCAGGAATGTTCTGTCTATCGATACCCATGCAATCTACATGCTGCCATTCACCGCATCGATCGCAGCATATCATGTAACCGTCGTCATGTGTGAAATCGCAAATGCATCTAGTTTTGCCTTCATCTTCACCCTCTGGAGCTGTCTCAGTGTCACTGCCGCCTTGTGGCGGTGGCCTGTCACCCTCAATAGATGAAGTCACAGAAGCAGTATCTTCATCTTGAATTGGTACAGGCTGTGGTTTGTAATTAATTGCTCCCATTTGTATTGTTGACACAGGTACAGGAGTTCCTGATATGCTTGTCGGGACTGATATAGGTAGATCATATGATGCTGTGGACATGATAACAGGAGATGTCCTTTTTAATGGGCTGAGGGGAGCAACATTGGGAGGTGGTGTTACGTTAATTGGAGGCGCCGATGCAACTGTAGTTGTAGTAGGAGTGGATACAGTAGGTTCTTTCTGGGCAGGTAAAGCATAAGTGTGATCCAACATTATAAAAGCTAATGACTGGAATGAATACCGTCGTAGCTCTTCTGATAAGTTGGGTCTCTCTTCCATACCAATCAGGTCGTCAGCAGTAAGTAGTGTTGATTTGTCACCACTGAAAAAAAGCAATCATATTAATGTAATCTTATAAACTACAATAATAGTAAAAACAATAAATATTAGAAAAAATACTTACAAAACTATTCTTATCTGATTATTTGATTTAATTCCAAGAGATTCATCAATCGTAGCAGCATTTGTAAGTGATGCAGGTGGTGGGGAGTGATTGATAAATGGGGTAGGGCTGGTCTGTATCATAAGTTTAGGTTGTGAAAGAGACTGCAATATTTGAGCAGTCAATTGCTGATTGGCAGAAACTTGAGACACTGTTGATAGTTGATTATCAGCTGTACCATAGGTTTGCACATAGCGTAAATTGGGGGTAGATCCAGACTGTACATAATGTGGGCCCTTAGCCAAGCTAGTACTTATAGGAGCTGTAGAAATCAAAACTGGACCACAAGGTGACTGAAGTACCAAACGCTCTCCTTTTGCTGGAAACTTTTGGATAGACATTTGCTGTTGACTTTTGTGAGTTGGACTTCCAACTTTCTGTATAATTTTAGAAGCATTTGAATCAACAACTCCAAAAGATGATTGTTGACTCTTATATGTGACACTGGCAACTGGCCAGGTCTTGGTCTCCGATTTGTTAACAGTACCAGTTTGCTGTATAATTTTAATTGCTCTCGACTGATTTTTCTGACCAGATACTTGGCTAGTACTCTTAGGACCTTTAAATGTATTCAGGGATTTCTTTCCTGAATGAACAGACATTTTGTTTGGGCCAGAAACAACACGAGATAATATATGGCATTGTGTGTTACCTGAAGAAGCAGCCACCAAAGCACTCACATTAGCACCATTATTTACTTTATTAAGAGTTTTATTTAGGTTTGTGCCCTTTGTAAATGTGTGACTGTAAGAAATATTTTTAACTGAACTGCTATTAATTACATTAGGGCTAAGAGTTGAGCATCCAATCAATGACTGGCTCTTTGGGGGTTTTGTGCAAAGCACAGAATTATTCAAATGTTTCTGCGACACCACACTTGGGCCTAGTTTGTAAATGTGGTTCTGCGTGCCATAAACAGGTGTTGCAATTTCTTTTCCTTGTGCAATATACTGCTGAGGATAATTTGCATTCTTCGGTAAAGATATATTGCTCAAAATTTGAACTTTAGAAGTCTTAGGTCTAGTAATATAACTGGTTTCTGTAACAATATTGGCTCTTCTTCCTGTTTGGCTGGCATCTTTGACATAACTGTCACTGATTATGATTTGTGAGACACCAGCTTGTGGCCTATCATCATCACTCTTATTATCTGTAGTAGCAGCACTGGTAGTAAGAATAGTAGGCAGCCAGAGAGTCTGACTACCAGGAACATCTTGAGATACATTATGGATAGCAGTCAAGTTTCCGACAGTTGAGTTAACATTGATGGTAAAGTTTTGAGGTAACTTGGAGACATTGTGCACAATAGCGGTGTTCAGAGGAGTTTGAATAAGAGTTGCCGAGTTCTCTACATAATTGCCATCATTTGAATCATCTGCTTCCTGTATAATCGGGTATGCAATATGCCCCACATTGTCAATAGTTGCTTCCTCAATCCTTACTATTCCAGATAGGGAGTCCACAGACATCTCAGTTTCACAAGCTTTTTCGGCAATATGATATTCTACTTCCTTATCTAGTTTATTGTGTACAGATTGTATAATACTTTCAGGATTAGTTGAATCAGGTTCAGGGTCACTGCCAGTAGGAGAAATAGGCAATGCCCTTAGAACAGGAGGTCGAACATTTGGAATATTCATAGTATCTGTTAGTTTGTTTTCCAATACATGTTCATATACATTTTCACTGGAGGTGGTCGGCCCGTAATCCTATAACCAAACAGAAAAATCATTAAAAACCTATATAAACAATAATAAATCCAAATATAAAAGTTAATCATAAATATTCAAAATCAGAACAAAAATTCACCCTAATAATCAAGAACACAGGACACAGAAAGGAACTATTTCTCAAGATCTACTTATGAACCAATATCATGGTGAGGTGTTTTTGTCCCTCATCCAATGAATTTATTATCATATAATCAACATATATTACAACACTTATACAAGTGACAATCATATCAAATGTCCTCATTCAGAATGTCATGATAGTAACTAAAAATGTATGAAAATATTAACACTACTCACCAAGTACATAACTATGATATAAATAGTGTGGACAACTACTGCTAAAGGATTTTAATAAATACACTTTTTCTTTAAAAACTTTATTTATTATGTCTGGCTGCTGAAATACACACTCAAGAAACAAAAGGCCATCTATACATGAATAAGAAGGAGCAGAAATATAATTTATGTTATAATTAGGTTATGTTATTATGATCCCTTCATAAAAACCAATAATTCAAAATATTTAAAGATAAACCTGTTTCTCTAATTTATATATAGTAAGCGATGCATCTAGATGAAATAATATGTACCTTGCAACAAATAAAAAAAATATAAATAAAATTCTACTTACTTGCCGGGCCGCTGGTTCATATTCTGATGTAGCTGACATGCTGTAAATACTATCATCTTGGGTCAAGCCCTAGATGACGCCTTGGAGTGCACCTCGGCCTCCAAATTTATTTCATGTGACTGCAATCGAAAATTGACTTTTTATCCACTTATCTTCAAAATCGTCACGTATACGAAGAAGGCAGATCATAATTTTTCTTGGTTTTATTAATTTTATTCCACTAAAACGATAGACACGACCCTCGAGGTCATTGTTCCAGAAAAAAGCAGAAAGTCAGTTCATATTGTGCCCTACGAGAAAATATCATAAATAACACAAATATAATAACAAAAAGAGCAGATAATACGAAATTAATGCACAAGTTATGTGAATAGGTTAATCCACTGCCGCCATTATTGTCGCACGGAAACTGAAATGTCTCGCCAATAAACATCAAAAAAGTAAACACTAACCTAAATACACATAAAAAATTAAATTATTTAATTCTCTGATATTAATTTCAATTAATAATCTGGAAAAGACCTGCGGTATGCTTAGTAACAAAGAAATAAATTATAGGTACTAGCTAGGTACTAAAAATGAGGTTTATATAGTTCTGGAAGTGTATAGGAATTAATGAAATAGTAACGGAAATAGAAAGTAAAAGAAAGTTTCTAAGTAACAGACCCGCGAATGCTTTAATTAGCAACATCACAAAAGCATCGGACTACTAAATCCAGATGTAAACACTTTTTCAGTAATTCTCGAAAGAATTCATTACTAACCTGTGCGTAAAAGACTTATTAACACTCACGACGTAGCGAAACAATTTCCATCAATTAATTGCATAGCAGAAATGAAATAGGCCTCAAAGTTCGTAACTACGACCAAAACATTCACAAGAGTCGAAGATGGCGGCCATTGCATTTTCTTGATACAAAACAACGGGGCCTCTCGAAACATGTCCTACCACTACTTACATCCGGTCAAATTAAACCTAGTTTAATTATAGTTGTATCAAAAAACTGTAAAAATTTATATTCGAAGTACATTTTTGCAGTGAATATTACTTTTAGTAGCAAAATTTTCTTTTTTGTTTGTAATATAGTGGGGTTTATAAACTTAAAAAAAATAAAAGTTGTTAATTGAAATTGTCTTTGAGCTACTAAACTTTTTTCTCCCGGACATGGATTGAAAAAGAATCTATGAAGTCTATGCTTTTAAGCAAACTTTTTAATTTTAGTACATTTTAGCTATAGACTAAAAATTCATTTTTATGTACTTTAGTACAAGGCAGGCTGTTCGCTTCGATCAGGATTCAGGAGTTATCCAGTTGGCGCAAGCTGACTGCCGGTGTTCCACAAGGCGGTATTCTATCTCCTTCGCTATTTTCCCTTTTCATTAATACTCTCATAGAACTTCTTACTTCCTCTTACCATCTCTATGCTGATGATTTACAACTGTATGCAAGTACAGATAGCCTTCATTTGAATGAGGCTCTCACAGATTTAAATCATAATCTCAATGTGATCAGAGACTGGTATTTTAGTCAATCCAAACAAGTGTCAAGCGGTCATTGTTGGCAGTTCACGTCTACTGTCGCAATTTGACTTTACTCAGGTTAATTCGATGTTCTATGACGGTGGTACTATTAATTACTCGGCTCAAGTAAAGGACTTGGGTTTGATTGTAGATGAAAAACTTTCCTGGATAGACCAAGTTGTTTGTGCCCTTTTTAATCTTCTCTTCTATCCACAAACACCCGTTTACCTAAAAAACAGATTAAGGTTTCTGAGTGATTCTCATGACCGTGCCCTCCGTTCAACGGACGACCTCTTTCTGCATACTCCCGTCCATTCTTCTGGCTTCGACTCCTACTCTTTCACTGTCACGGCAGTACGACTCTGGAATGACTTGCCCCTCAATATACCTAAAGCTCTTAACAAACTTGCATTTAGGGAATTGGTTCGTGAGTACTATCTCAATAGCATTAAACAGAATACACATAAATATAAATATATTTATGTATATATATGAGAGTGAGTTAAGAGTATTTTTATCCTTCGTTTATCATACATTTGTCTTTATTGCACCCCCGTCATATTAGTTAATTTTTCTAACGCTCTTATTGGTCGGCTGGTAGAGAATGCCTTATGGTATAATGTCCGCACTTTGCTTTGTTATTTTGCAAAAAAGTTTAAATAAATACAAATATTTAAATTACAAAAGTGTAAAAGTATTTGATGTCTAAAAACTTTAAAAATCACTGTTACCGAAAAACACGGGCCGAGTGAAAAGTACACTACGGAGGCTGATTGTAACTATTTTGCTCGGTGACCCATAGTGTGAAGGTAATAATTAACAGCTATATGTGGGATTTAAACCTATAGATGTCAATAATTACCTATTCTGTCCTGTGTGACCTTTGAGTATAGATACTCTAAGTGTGTGACTCCATACAGAGCTCCAGGCTTAAGGCAGAAATACACTTATCAGTTATGATGCGATCAGACGCGATCGATTTCATACGGTTAGATTAGTACTTGTGTGTCGCTATCTGTCGCGATGTGTCGATAGCGTTCTTACTCTAACCATATTAAATGTATGAAACATAGCTCTCTGATGCGTCACCATAAAACACAACAGATAAGTGTAATTCTGCCATTAGTATTTAATTTAATTTCTATGGACCCTTAAACATTATTTAACTAATTGGCCTACCGATTGATTGAGTGTCCGTCATGCTAGCGTACACCACATCAAGTTCGAGGTTGTTGTATAAGCTAATAAATAGTGCGTAAATAGTGCCTAATTAATACAATAAAAAAAACCCTTTAGTTTGGGAAATAATAACTGTTTTCATGGTGTACACTGGCGTGACGATCAAGGTAGCGTACACTAGGTCTTTTTAGAAAAGGGCTTATTGTTATGCAACCAAATTTTCACAAATAATAGTGCTCTAATAGTGCCCACACTGTGCAAAATTTTATAATCATAGTTCATAAGGGAACAAAGATATAGAACAAAACTTATGAATAACCTTTGGAGCTGGCATCATGGTAGCGTACCCCAAATAGTGCATATAGAAAGCGAACTTCTATTTTAAATATGATACATGTATAAATAGTAAGTGAAATTCTACAGTTTGTCTATAAAGTCGTGACATTAAATGATGGCGCCACTAGTATGCATGTAGCAACCCTATACAGTCGGATCAAAATGATTTTGATACTAGCAGTTCATTCAAGTAAAACAGGTAATTAATAAGACACACTATACAGTCGTATTTTATTTCTGTTTTATATATAGTAGGTACTATAGAGTTCTACCCAGAATGGATAGAACCTGGGGACGTGCTTATTAATTAAACGATACTGGTAGAGATAAATTATTTATTTCTTTTTATCATTCAGGCGAATATAAAGAAATTTTATCTAAATACGAGAGGAAGTTCTTGGTGCCTGAAGATCTAATCTAGAATGGAACCTTCTATCAAAAGACAGACGATTCCTTATTTCAAATCTTAAAATCATGACATTAACTTTTTTTAATATAACTGCCAACCGTAGGCATTGCAAAAGCAAAGAGTTTACCTAAACAAGGAGGTTATAACGTTAAGGACGTTACATCCCTCCGGCACCTCTAAAAAAAAAATTGTTTTGTCATACCAGATGACCGAACAAATTTTTTTTTTCCTACCTACTACATCGAGAGGGTTCGACAGTCCTATCTAAAATCCCTACCTGCTTAAGGACATAAATACAACTGGGAGGTGGCCTTTACTACAGACTAGCCCTCACAATAAGTTTGCAAAACTTGCAAAAAAAAACTTTACGGGAAAAGAACCCTAACTGTTTGCAAAGTTTTATTGCAAAGACTTTACGGGAGCAAAACCTTAACAAAATCCCTCGTACATCTCCCTCCTAACCTTAACTTTACTTTACTTTACATCGACATCAGTCGGCAAAAACAAAAAAACAAAGCTAACCCTAGCTATACCTTAAATTACCCAAGCAATTTTTATTTTATCCCATCTATCAGCAAAACTTTACCCTATCCCATTTATTAAACCATTAAATATCAAGAAAATTTATATTTTGAAACTTCATTACTTCCCATACTAAGTAGATGTACGAAACGAAATTCAAACTATTTCCTAAGATTCGTAAACATTAACTGGATTTGAGCAAAACCTAAAAGAATTTATAAATAATGTTTACTTTCGTACATCTTTAATAAAGATACAGACGTGGTCCACCACTTTATTGTCTTGTACTTTATTAGACACCCATGATGCGCAAACGTAATAGAAATTTTGGGTAAGGACATCTAGCATCAAACAAGATTAAACCCAATTCCCATGGAATACTAAGGGTTCCCTACCCCCAAGTCAAACTACTACAAGTGACGATTTTGACGAACGCGACGCGACCAAATTGAAACGAAAACGACGCGAATTCGTAGAGGGTGTCTCCATCATCTTCAGGGTGGATCATCGTCAGTATCGCTGACGTCTGCATGAGCGCCAGCCTGCTCTCTCTCGGGAAGTCCGCATCATGTGGTAGTACATAAAACAATCAAGAAAATATTAGTAAAATTCTTTACACCATTTTTCTTCAGTCGGGTAAGTTAATATTTGATCGAGGACTAGATAACCTCGATCATATATAATAAATAAAGAATGCCAGCTAATATTGACTTAATATATATTTACAAACAAAATAGAACACATGAGTACAAACAACGTATCTAAGCAAGTAACAACCAAAAACTTGAAGTGCATGTCAGTCAGTATATTCAAATAATTCTGACAACCACAAACCATACGAATAACAGCAATGAGATTACACGCAAATATAAACTCCTAGCAATTTGTCGCTCTAACACTCCTCCTTAATCTCATGCCTGTTAGTGTACCTACCATATAAACAGCCATCTTATTCACACACAACTCAAACCCATGCTTTTCACACACCATTCAAATTTACCTCTCAACAAACACTTTGTCAAAACATCAGCTGTCATTCTATTAGTTTCCTTGTACCTCAAATGAATGTCACCATTCTCAATCGCCTCACGTACAAAGTGATATCTTACATCCACATGCTTCGTACGCTGGTGATGTACAGGATTCTTAGCAATTGCCATAGCCGACTGACTATCAGTGAAAATTGAGATTGCGGGATTGGGTCCATCTCTTAATTCTGCAATAAACCTGCGAATGAAAATTGCCTCTTTTGCAGCCTCTGATAACGCTACATACTCAGCTTCTGCAGACGATATTGCCACTGTACGTTGTTTCTTGCTCTCCCAAGAAATAGCTCCTCCTTGAGATAAAAATACCCAACCTGAATTTGATCTTCTATCAAAGTCTCCGGCGTGATCTGCATCAGCATAACCTAATACAAACTCATTTTGTTTTCCCCTTCTATAGAATAATGCTAGATCCTTGGTTCCCATCAAATAGCGGAGCACTCTCTTTGCAGCTATCCAATGCTCGTCTCCGTAGCTGTTGTTAAACTGACTGAGCTGACTTACTGTGTGTGCTATGTCAGGGCGCGTACAAACAGCAAGGTACATCAGTGAACCAATCAATGCGCGATACGGTACTTTTTCATCAAGTTCTTGATCAAGCTGTGGCCTCTCTAGCCTTTGTCCTGGTACTGCTGGAGTAGCAACTGGTTTACAGTTCTCCATTCCAAATGTACGAATAACCTTCTCTATGTATCCCTTCTGATCCAGTTTGATCCCTTCACTATCTTGTGCTATTCGTATTCCCAACATCAACTTCGCTGTGCCAAGGTCCTTCATCTCAAATTTGTTTGTGAGATCGGTTTTAACCTTCCTTAATTCCTCAACATTATTCCAGAACAATAAAATGTCATCTACATATATGGCAAGAATAATTACTTTATCTCCTGTAGATCTAATATAAACGCATGGTTCATACTCAGACCTCTTGAATTTAAGTTTCAGCAATTCCAAATGAAGTTTTTTATTCCATGCTCTGGGAGCTTGTTTAAGTCCGTACAATGATCTTTGCAACTGGCACACATAATTCTCCTTTCCCTTTTCAACGAAACCCTCTGGTTGCTTCATATAAACCACCTCGT